AGCCAATACAGCAACAGGCAACCCGAGACTTTCTTTTGCTTGCAAGAGATCAAAATGTCTTCTCCTTTTACATTCTCAAGCACACTCTACTCTGAGCAGCCAGGAGGTAAGACTGATAAAGAAGCTGGAATAGGTTGTCCTTTTCACATCAAAAATTGCAACGTTACTGTCCATCAGCCTCCACCTCAAGGAAGTACCTGTCGCTACAACAATACTGCCAACTGTCGCTTCTATGGTACTATAGTACGCATTGAGGATAGAATTAATAGAGTGTTGCATCAGTTCCTATTAGTTTCATATCACGGGAAATATAACAGAATGAGCTCTGAGAATAGAAAGAAAGAGATAAGTGCCTTCTTTAAGCAGATGTGCACTGTTGCTGACATTCACAAAATGACAGTGATAATTGGTGGAGACTTTAACTTGAGAGTAGAAGAATGGAGAGCATTAGTGATTGGGGAGAACAGAGGAAGGAGGATAGAAGTTGCTGCTAACTACGAGATGGGTCCTAGAAGAAGAGGCTCTGATCTTTTGGATACTTTTGCCGTTGTGTATCCTCAAGGAGGTATAGGCTGTACTGTATGTACAATAGGCACTCCTGCAGCTGTTGATCTTGAAGGAGTACTGCAGGAAAGGCTGAGGACCGTCACTGATAGGGACACCATTTTACAAGAAAGGAGAGTTTTTAATATAATGGATCATGATCCTGTTTGTATGAGTGTTACTTTAAGCACACCTCAGTAGATAGAAAGATAGCATATATTTTTATACATACATTATATTTTTTATTTGCATTTATTTTTATTATTTATTTTTAAGCTTGTTACATTTATGTTTGCAGATGATAAAAGGGTGGGGCTCATAAATTTTAATAACTGATGGTCAATTAATGTGATGGGTGTGGTCTGTAGATTCAGCACTAGTCAGCAGCAAACAGCAAACGCAGAGTCAGAAGGGAATTTCCCAAGAAAGTAAAGCAAAGGAGCTAAAGCAACTGAGAGAAAAGCGGCCATTAAAAGGAAAAGGCAATGGACATTGAAGAAGAAGAAGAAGAGAACACGAAACACTGTACCAACTGGTGAGAATTGTTGTGAATACTAACAACAGCCTGAGTTAATACTAGTGTTTTATTTTATATTATATTCTCTAGCAAACACAACATTAAAACAGATGTATACGAGATGCATGTATTACACTGTCATCGGAGGATAAAGCTATGTCCTGAATGCAATGAGCCAGTTCCAAAGGAACAAATGGAGCAACACCACGAGGATAATCACACGGAAGCCCCGTGTGATTTGTGTGGACAAGGAATAATGAAGGACCAACTTGAGGACCATCAGGTACACTAATGGGATGAGCTGTACATGTACATATATAAGAGAATGTACATGTAGAATGGAATGGAATATACATGTAAAATGCAATGCATCTACAATAGAGATGTACATAGTTTCAATTGATGCACAATATGAATATGATAAACCTTATAATCCTTAATACCCTGTGGATTAATGGATACTAGGCACATGTACAACTTAAGTGTATTTTAATATCTTTCTTTATTTTGTGCTCTGTTACTATTTTGTGTGTTCTTTTTTTTAATGATATACACATTTTGTGAATATTTTTGGGGTTTTCCTATCGCCGTGAATATGCTTTATTTTACAATCCCTCTCACTCAATTTAGACTAATGACTGTCGTGAACGCAAGATCGAGTGCAAATATTGTCAGTTAGAAGTGAAAGCGATCGATTTCATGGAGCACACAGTTGCTTGTGGTAGCCGAACCGACGTCTGTGACAAATGTCTTACGAGGCTAATGCTTAAAGATATGGAGAATCACAAATGTGGCGAAGAACCACCTCCCCTCCTTTACAATCAGTATCATACTCCGCCAAAACCACGCCCAACTGGTACCAGGAGGGCCATACGTGTCGACGTTGACGAAGTTGAGCAGACACAAACCACAGAGCCTGGCAGATCAGGGTCAGATGATGTTAGCAATCAGTTAAGAAGAGATGAAGAAATGGCTGCCGAGCTTCAGGCACAATATACCAATGAAGACCCCGACCATCACAACGGCTCGCCACACCCTCTATCACCACATCCCCTCATGCCGAATTCCCACCTTATACAAGAAACTCGTTACTCTCCGACCACACCTCCTCGCGAGAGGCTAGCACATGATACTGGCGAAGACTTACTTAGAGAACAGCTCGAGTTTGAAATGAGGACAGGAACACGAGGCCAACCAACAATGGTACTTTATAATTACGCTGTCAGCGAGGAAGAGAAGAAGAAGAGAAATGGAGACAGTCCTGGTAGCCCTATTGTTTTAAATGACGAGGAAGGAGAGAGAGAGGAGGAGGAGGAGGAAAGGAGGAGAGAGCAACTGAGAAGAGATGAGGAAATGGCTAGACAGCTCCAGGAGGAAATGGCTAGACAGCTCCAGGAGGAAATGGCTAGACAGCTCCAGGAGGAAGATCAAGAAAATAGATTGATAACAAGATTTGGCCAAGTAATCGCACAGCGAAATTCTCCTTCTCCTTCTCCTCCTCTGCTCAATACTGGAGGAGGAGAGGGTGAGAGGAGAGAGAATGAAGAAGAAGGTGCCCTTATTCCTTGTGAAATATGTCAGGAGCTAGTCCGTTTTGAAGACTACCAAAAGCACACAGTAAGAATTAAAATTTTGACAGTATGTACATGTACATGGCGAGACATGACATTCATTTGAACGATTTTAGCAATTGCTCCTGTGAATCAGTGACAGGTTTCGCCTGATTGATGTTCATGCATTGTTTCCTTATCACGTGGTTAGTGGTGACGACATTCAGCTGGTCTTTAATAATCACGTGATACCTCTTGATGATGACATCATACAGCTGGGCCCTTATGATCACGTGATACCTCTTAAAGTTTAAAAAATATTTGTCAGTAATAAGCACTAGCTGCCTTATCTTATTGCTGTGATTCCAAGCACATTAGCAGATATGCCATTTATGTCCATTGTGATTTAGGCGCTTATATTCGTGTTAGTTTTAAACAGTAAACAACTTGATGACATGAACACAAGTATATACACTAATTACTGTTGTTTAGTTCTCTCTCTCTTCAAATTGTCATACATTTTGTTATTATTATTATTATTATTATTATTATTATTATTATTATTATTATTATCAAGATCTAGACTTGTACATGTATGTACATCATTGCTTATGCTTCCTCCTTATTGTTTCACTTTCATTATCAATAGGATGAGAAGCACTCCCATCTTGCTGCTTATCTACAAAGCATCGCTCACCCTCCCCCTCCTCCCCAAAGGTACTCTTCACCCGAGCGTGGAAGAACAGCTTCTTCTTCTTCTTCTTCAACTAAAAACAGTCCAAAAACTGAAGATGGTAATAGCACCTGGATATTGAACTTATTGTTATTTTGTTTATGATAGGCGATATCCATTGTTCATATTGTCATTTCAAATACAGCCCAAACGTAATAACATATCACGAGGTATGATCACAAAAATGAAGGACTCTTCAACTTTACTCTTTCTATATTCTTTTTCTCTCCTCTTTCAGACTATATGTGACATGAATCCTGATAGAGGTTTGAGCAGACCTCAGTTACCATCACCAAAAGTTAACAGAGCTAATAGCCCCTTGGCCCCAACCCGTCAACTTGAAGACCTAACTAGATCAACTGGTACATAAAAACTGTCGTGGATACATTATGCAGATCTAACCTCTCTCTCTCTTTCATTAGATGATACTGAAGATGATTTTGGCATTCCTTGTCAATTTTGTCAACGCATGTTCTCTTTCAGTGAAATAGAGCGTCACCAGAAAGCCTGTCCAACTCGTTTTGACCCTCGTTTTCTTGAAAGAGAAAGCAGAAGGAGTCCTCGAAGCTCCGATATCTTTAATAGCAACGTCAGTGATGACCGTAAAGCAAGGTAAGAAGAAATGTAATGTCTATTGTACTACACCTGTGTATTTGTCCTGTTATCTCCTACTAAAGTGCTTTAATACAATATTTCTATCAATTCCAATGTGACTAGCAAAATGCCTTCTTGAAAGAGAAAGATGATCAACCTGATTGCTATTAACTTTTTACTTCATCGATATTGAATATTGCATATACCCTGTTCATGATTTGCTGCTTTATCTATAATTATTTCCTGTAGGCCTGTATTCAATTCAGCACCTGTTGCTACTTCAGCTACTAAGAAGACCAGCTTGACTCCAACATTAAACTACGGAGGAGCTAGTGTGGCGGGTTATACCTCAACAACCCAAAGGATGAGACTTGGCAGTGATCCGACTAAAAAACCATCACTAGAGAATAAAATTTTAGCCGAGAGTAATGTCAACAAAAGCACCTACGTGTATACTACTAATAGTGGAGCTACAGGAGGAGGAGGAGGTAGAGGAGGAGGAGGAGGGAGAGGAAGAGGAGGGAGAGAAGGAGGAGGGAGAGGAGGAGGGACAAGAGGAAGAGGAGGAACAGCAAGACCTGGAGCAGAAAGGGGGAGAGGAGGACCAAGAGGACCTGAAGGAGGAGGAAGAGGGAGAGAAGGAAACAGTAGAGGAGGAGGAGGTTCATTATATATTGATTTGACTGCTAGTAATAATAATGGGAACAGGACTGGAGACAATGGAAGATATGGTCTTGTTATAGAAGGCACTGCCATTACTCCTCCTGGTGATAAAGAAGAAGAAGAAGAGATGGAAGTCGAACCTTCTTTTACCGAAAGTGATGGTAGCAGTAAAGGCTATCAAGGGAGCAGCTTTACAAAGTGGAGGAAATAAAGAACAACTTTTTGTGATAATGACGATGGTCATTATTACATCTGTGCATTTGTATAGAATAAGTGCACACACTTTAGCATGAGACGTTAAATAAAATGCTCTTCTTTTTCGTTCATCTTTAAATTATTAATGTAATTATGATACTTTAAGATGTATTTTGAATTTAAACTGGCCCCTTATGACTCGGGTTCTGAATCACGAATCTATTAATTATTCATGATTATGGTTGTCCACGCCTACAAGCATGGTTAGGTTAACAAGAAACAAACTTAGGAGTAAGTAAGTGCTTGAACTCAGCTCTCCCTCCCGCCCTTTCTCTCCTACTTACTCTCTTTTTCTGTTTTTAGTCATGTTGAAGGCACAGGTACAGGTAGTCAAGGTGCCAAAGAGAGAAATAGAAGAAGTTAAGACACAATTCTCATTTACTTTTTTACATCTTCTCATTAGGTAAGGAATATGAAGAGCTAAAGGAGAAACTGAAGAGAGAGCGATCGTTGCTGGTTCTTTGGCGGAAACCTCACATTACATTAGCATACTTTTTAAGAGAACTTTTCATAGAATTTAAGAAACTAATTCACGGGTGATCCTTTAAAATATAGAAAATTACTTTTATAAATTAAATTATTGAATCCTCTTTTTTTACAGTATATTGCAGCACAGGAAAACTGTTAGTTTGTTAGTAATTACTTTATTAATATCAGCTTTATTGTATTATTTAGATGGACCCCATCAAGAGGTAAGCCCACTATCTATTATTATCATCATCATCACTATTACTACTACTATTGTGTAGTTTGTGCGTAAAGTTGAATGGCAGCTGCTTTGGTGTGGCTATTGGATTGGATTAGGGATTTTATCATCAGTTGGACTAGGAACAGGATTACATACTTTCCTCCTCTACTTGGTATGAGAGAGAGGGAGGGAGAGAGAGAGGTGGTTATAGTGTTCCTGTAGGGTCCCCACATTGCTTCGGTAACAATGGCCGCCTGGTCTTGTAAATCTGTTGATTTCCCTGAGCCACCATATCCACACAAGTACATACATGTACATGTATACACGTATGTGCATGTACACCTGCTAATTTAGTATAATATGTCCAGAAGAGGCCGCCTCCTATAGGATTACATTATGGACGATTGTTACTAAAGTTAGATTGGAGTCATTTATGTGGGTGAGTTATGGTTGTATGATCAATATTAACTTTTATGATACTTACTTTGTTGTCAGGGTTTAGGTACGGCACTGGGTGAATTACCACCATATTTCATGGCTAGAGCTGGTAATCGAAGACCTCCATCATTACATGTACATGTATGTCCTTCTCTCTCTCTCTCTCTTAGCTCGTCTCTCAGGATCAGAAGAAGATGATGAAGAATATGAAGAATTGGAGGCAGTTTTGCACTCGCAAAAGAAAGTCAGACAAAGTTGTAATACTGTTTCTCAAATTATCACAAACTTTTGTAGGATCCACTTACACGAGCTAAGAAAGCAGTCCATAGACTAGTGGAAAGGGTTGGCTTCTTTGGGATCTTACTCTGCGCTTCAGTATGGGACCATTAGTAGTCTTAAGATGTACTCTCTCTCTCTCTCTCTTTTTGTTCTTCAGATACCTAATCCATTGTTTGATTTGGCTGGCATAACTTGTGGCCATTTCCTCATTCCTTTTTGGACCTTCTTTGGAGCTACTGTCATTGGGAAAGCAATCATAAAGATGCACATACAAGTAAGTACATGTACATGCTGTCGAATCATTTGAAAAGCTCTGTGTGGCATAAAGACATCAATATGTATCAGAAAATGTAATAAAAATTGGGGGTGATTTTGGAGCCATTTTTTGGAAAAAACCATGGGCTATAGTACAGGGCATTTTTCCGAAATTTGGAGTTTTTTAAAAATGGCCATAACTTGAAAAATTAAAGTCGGAATTGGCTCAAACTTTTTACATAGCATAAGTACATCAATATGTATCAGAAAATGTAATAAAAATTGGGGGTGATTCCGGAGCCATTTTTTTGGAAAAAACCATGGGCTATAGTACAGGGAAATTTTCCGAAATTTGGAGTTTTTAAAAAGTGGTCGTAACTTGAAAAATTGAAGTCGGAATTCACTCAAACTTTCTACATAGCATAAGTACATCAATATGTATCAGAAAATGTAATAAAAATTGAGGGTCATTTCGGAGCCATTTTTGGAAAAAAACCATGGGCTATAGTACAGTGCATTTTTCCGAAATTGGGACATTTTAAAAAAATGGCTATAACTAAAAAATTTGTTTCAACTGAACTATAAATATTTGTTATGTAATTTTATCTCCTTTTTTTATAGAAATTCTTTGTCATTGTTGCTTTCAGTAATGATCACGTTGAATGGTTCATAAACTGGATTGGGTACGTACTATACATACATGTACATGTACATTTAAACTAACTTGTCTCTCTTTATTATAGTTTAATCCCTTACGTTGGGGTCTATCTACAAAAACCTTTCAGCGAATATCTAAAACAGCAAAAACTTAAGCTACACATGAAAGGCACTGAAAAAGATGCACAAGTGATTTAAAAATAAAAAAGATAATTATTTTTATTTGTAATTTATAGAACACAGGTTTCCTACAGCAGCTGTTTGGCTGGCTGTTGATATTAATGGTGGCATATTTCATATTGTCAATTGTCAATTCGATGGCACAAAGTTTTGCCAAAAGACAAGATGAGGAAAAGCTTCATCAGGGACTATCCAAGAAAAAGAAGAATTAATTTAACACAATAATTATAAGGTTACCTAAAATATTTTGATTAATAGTCTCTGAATAATAATAATTTGGCAAAGAATTATAATACATTAATATAATATAACAAATATTGACAATCTTCAATCTTCCTCCTCTTCTTCTTCGTTGCCACTAAATAAAATAAAGTGATAAAGGACGTGTATAAATAAAAAATATATTGTACTTCTTTTGTGATGGCACTGCACGATTTGGTAGGTCAAGATTAAGTACTGGTAGATGAGGTGATTCTATGCTTGATTGCTGCTGGATGGGTAATGTAATGGATCGATTGGCACTGGTCGATCGTTGTCCACTGTGATGGAGTACCTGCCGCTCTAGAATCACTCTCTCAGCCTATTTTTATATCACAGCAACAAAATGAAGTAAATTAATATTGTGGGTGTGGTTAATATGGCTGCTCACCTTTAAGATTGCAATTTGCTCTTCTGTTGCCTTTTTGAGCTCTTTTAAAAACTCCCCTTCTTTCCTTAGTGCTTCTTTGATCCTTGTGCTTTCCATAGTACCAGTCGCCATAGTTGCCATCATGATCATAAGGTTAGTTACTCCCACGACCCACGTGTAGTCACGCTGACTCATATGCACAGGACTGCGCATGCGTGAGAGACTGGAGTGCAATATGGCTGCTCACCTTTACTGTTGCAGTTTGCTCTCTGATGCCTTTTGAGCTCTTTTAAAAGCTCTCCATCTTTCCTTAGTAATTCTTTGAGCCTTGTGCTTTATAAAGCACCGCTGCTTTTAGTCACCATAGTTGTCAATAGCAAGATTGGAAGCCCCACCTAGCTGGCTTCCACGCCGGCGAGTGGTTAGACTAAAAGCTATGCAAGGGGCTTTAGTTCTCACACCAAGAGAAGCAGAAGAGGAGAATGGCTGAAGGAGGAGAAGGAGCATCTGTAGATATTACTGAGGAGAATCCTCTTGTCAAAATATTTGGAGAAATAGTCCTTCGAGGAGACACGCTGGAGCAAGTTCCCGTTACTGATTTGGGGGGAGAGGGTAAAGTGGTTGGTGTCTATTTCTCTGGTCACTGGTGCCCGCCTTGCAAGCAATTTACTCCTTTGCTCTCTGAGTGGTACGAGAAGTTTAAGGCTGGCCCTAATGGTGACAAGCTCGAGATTGTCTTTGTGAGCTCTGACAAGAATGAGATGGATTTTGTCAAGTATTTTCTGACCATGCCTTGGACTGCACTTCCTTATGCAGAGAGGGACAGAAAGGTAAGCAGCTCCTTTAATACCAAATAGTTATTTCCTTGCATTATAAGTGTATGCATGTACAATAGATCACTGAGCCATGATTGTTTATTGTATATTCAATGCAGCAGCAACAAGAGCGACCTGAAAGAGAGAGTGAGGAAATGTGACAATTTTTCTTGCTTTGAAGTCCGCATGAAATAAATATCGCGAATAATCACATTTACAATTACAAGTGTTATCTAGACCCACCATTTTTCACTCTTTAATAGGCTTCAATCAGTGCCATGTATAACATCAGTGGTATCCCAGTTCTTGTGTTGCTTAACGGTGCTGATGCCAGCGTCATTACTCTTAACGGTCGCTCTATTGTCACTGAAGATGAGAATGGAGAAGACTTTCCATGGCTGCCCCTGCCTGTTCTTGATCTATTGCATGAAGCCCCACTCATCAAGTGCAGCGATGGGAAGGAAGTTGATCCTTCTGTGGTTGATGGTAAGAAAATTGGACTCTTTTCTGGAGCAGTGTGGGTAAGTACCAAGCATGCATATACTGGTGCACAAGTCTCTCCTATATGTAGTGTACACATTGCATTGATTTCTTGGTGCAACTGAAAGAAGTCTACGCTGCAGTTAATGATAAGAACAAGGGATCTTTTGAGATTGTTTTTGTCACTTCTGACCGAACGATCGAAGATTTCAACTCTTTCATCAAGGACATGCCTTGGTATGCCCTCCCTTTTGATGGCCGTAGGAAGCACAGGATGTGTAGGACTCTTAAAGTTGAAGGTACGAAAGATTAACAGCTCAGAGATTATTTTGTGTTTCAGCTCTTCCTAGCCTGTGTACTGTTGATGAAAAGGGAAAGATCATTAATGATCTTTGTCGTTCCATTGTTGAGCAGGACACCACCGGAAAAGTAGCTGTGGAAAAAATTCTTTTCTATTGCATACTTTTCTCTTTTTTTCATAGAATTTCCCGTGGTATCCTAAACCTGTGTCTGAGCTTGATGATGAAGTTGTTGATCAAATTAATGAATTTCCTTGCATTGTGTTGCTAACAAGTAAAATCAAGCAGTACTGCTGTGTTTTTTTATCTTCACATTTGTTATTTAGAGAAATCCCAGGACGCTCTGGATAACTCCCGATTCATTTTGGAGCTTATCTCTGAAGCGTATCACAAATCAATTGGAGATAAAGAAGAGGAGAAGAAGAACAAGACCTTGATCCAGTTTTATTATGGCGGTATCACCGAGGGAGAGGATGATGTTGGGGACCAGCTCAGGACTTTTGCAGATTTGCCCATGAAGCTCCCAGTTCTTGCCATTATTGACCTACCTAATGCTGCAAAGTACGTTTGTGATAAAAAGACTATTACTAAGCAAGTGGTGTCTGATTTCCTGAACGGCTACAGGCAAGGAACCCTGCCTAAGCAAGACCTGGAGCTTGATTAAAAACTCTCATCCGTACTATAATAATAACTAAGTATATATATAATATTAGCATTAGATATTTAGTTTTCATGCTGTTATGCTATAGAATAGTATTTTAAAAATAAATAAATCTAGTAATTGAAACGGATAATTAAAATGCCATTGGAATGCATTGAAAGGATGTCCTGTGTTGTAATTATATTCACAATGACAAAATGGAGATGATGTAAACAAGACTCTTCACCGTCTCCAATACAATTCCATCTAGAGGTCTTGTGTATCATGGAGAAGCTATTTGAAGGAGTCAGTACATTACATTACGGGAGGGTAGGGAGCAGAGAAGAGGTCCCTGTTAGCAGTTTAGAAGGACCAGGGAAAGTCCTGGGTCTGTATTTCAGTGCCCACTGGTGTCCTCCTTGTAATCTCTTCACTCCAGAGCTCGTCGGCTGGTATAACAGACTGAGAACAAGCGGTAAGGATATACAAGTGGTCTTCATTAGCTTCGATAACAATGAGGAGGATTATGAAGAACATTTCAGCACAATGGATTGGCTTGGTCTGCCTTTTAAACACAGAGAGATAAAGGTAAGGATTGTATTGTATTAAGTAGACAAATGTAAAACATTAAAGGGGCAAAGCCAAGCTAGCAGAGCATAGATTATTATAATTGGACTGGATTTAGCTTTTTTATTGATGACGAGGCATTTTAGCAATAATATAAACAACTTCTAATGTACAGTACAACGTCTTTTGTGGCTAAAAATGTTTGCTTGGTTGCTTATACTGCTTGAGGGAACTGCAGGCTGTAAAATGTGACTGTATGTATTTCTCTCTCTCTCTCTCTCTCTCTCTCTCTCTCTCTCTCTCTCTCTCTCTCTCTCTCTCTCTCTCTCTCTCTCTCTCTCTCCACTTGTAGGCTAATCTTGTCAGAAAGTACAAGATATCCGGAGTTCCTTCTCTAATCCTCATCAATGCACATACCTCTTCTCTTATATCAAAGGACGGTCGTTACTACGTTCTCAACGACAGAGAAGGTGACGGATTTCCATGGACTCCAGAGACACTCGAGGTCTGCTTGTCGTCAGGTTTTTTGGAAGACAAGGAAGGTCTTGACTTGTCTTGGGTCGACATTAAGGACAGTTTAAAAGTCCTTGGTCTTTTCTTTTCTGCTCAGTGGGTGAGTCCATCATGTTATTTGTATTGTTGTTGTTGTTGTTGTAAGTGTATAACTTATTTATCCAAATAATAATGAGATTATTGTGCTATTTTGAGAATTATAATCTTATTAACACTTCTTATGTAGACATAATTTGTGCCTTAATGCAATCCGACCTGCATATGCTTGTTTATACCAAAAATTTAATTAACTATTAAATTTGCTGCTGTTATTATTATTATCATTATTATTATAGTACATGAATTTTATTGTTAATTAACATTATTTTTATTTTTATTTAGTGTCAGCCGTGTCAATCCTTTACATCACAGCTTATCAGTTTTTACGAAAAAATGAAGAAAAAGTTTCCATCGCAATTTGAAGTGATCTTTGTATCATCGGATCTTGAAGAGTCAACATTTAAAGAATATGCACTTAAAATGCCTTGGATCACAGTCCCTTTTAAGGATCAAAAATGTCAGAAATTGAGGCAAATATACAATATCTCAGGTATGGGGACTGCCAGGAGAGAATTCTTATGAAATTTCCCAATGTCTGTACATGTACTTATGTTGCAATTGAATGATTCCAATCAAAGTAAGTTTTTGTACTAAGTTTAAAAATCAAGCCAAGTACTAGCTATTATTAGTAACGTGGTAGCGTTACTAAGTAGGATTCACCTCACTTCAAAATGGCTGCCACTACTTTTGCAGCCATGCTTAATACCTGGTTTTGGGCCAAATTTTGCCAAAATGAAAAGCAGAGAGTTTTCCATTCTTATAATATATTTACATTCTCTTATGCCGTAATTATGTTATGTTTAAGCAATAATGATATCAAGGAATCTTTCCCAAAATAAATTGATTTTATTTAAACAGATATTCCTACACTGGTGATAGTTAATCCGCAATCAGGCGACGTTATCACGGATAACGGCCGAACCATGGTTACCATTGACCCCAATGGAATGGTAAACTAATAATTGTGGGTGGGGCTGCTTTCATCAATTAATTCTTTACTTGTTTATTTAGGAATTTCCATGGTACCCTAAACCTCTTGAGGTACTAGATGAAGCATCGATTAATATCGTGAATGATAATGTATCACTGGTATTGTTCACTGGTACGAATATATTATTAAATATATCAAATTAATAATATTATTAATCATAGATGGCTCTCCAGACCAGGTACAAATGGCTCTAACATTACTATCGCCAGTTGCAGAGGAAAACTTTAAAAATAATTCAGGCAGAGACGACAAAGATACGATTAAGTTTTTCTACTCAAATGACAGCGATCTCTCAGCCAGTCTCAGAGAAGAGATACTAAAGATCCCAGAGGTTTTTCCACTACTGGCGCTGGTTGATATACCAAGTCAAAGGAAGTACGTGTGTGATACTAACAACATTAATGAGGAGACAATCGCAAGTTTATTATCATCATTTAATAGCAATACAGTACAATGGAGCAAACTTAACTAGTCTTCTTCTATACATGACATTAATGCACGGTATTGGTATAACACCGTATAATAATACATTACCCTTTAATTTCAATCTTTTGTAATACATGAATGTTACGGATGTACTCATTTTAAAATCTTTAATTTTATTTGGTAATTATAATTATTACTTTCTTCAGTGAACATGTACACACGGTTATGATTATTATGATGATAGTCCATATCATAATAATAAACAATATCATTCCTTTCGATGTTTAAAGTTTGCGGACAACAAAAATAACATTTACTGTTGTTTAGGGAAATTGAATTGAAAATGAAACTGTTAACTTGAACTATCAAACTAGGAAAATCTATAAACATTAACCAAAAAGGAGAGTTTGTTGCTACAAATAAAAGAACACTATGTACACTAACAATACAAACTTTTGATAACTAAATTAGTCAGTTTTGTTCAGTAATGGCTCGTACTCTCTCGGGTTGATCACGCGATCAGCGAAATCAACTTCAAACATGTCAACGTCTTCGTTCTCACCGCTGATCTTTGATTTCTTCTTGTAGCATTTCTTGAATAGCCGGCGACCAACGTACACGGATATATAGACCAGCGGTAGTAGTATCATTATGATTCCCAAAGCAACGAATTCTTTATTCAACTGATGCGATACGGATTGAACCAGTATTGTGACTTTCACAAGAATCAGGACACAGAATATGAATACATCAAGGGTATTGTTCCACTGCTTCTTATAAGGCTGGACAGTGACTATTAGACATACGACCATTATCATTGTCATCACTTGTAGCATACCCTCAACTACACTGTCCATTGCTGACATCAGAACTGCAAGCACAATGATCCTCAAAAAGAAGTAGACAGAAGAAAAGCTCCTGGCGTCCCTTGTTTTTTCCGTTCCGATCCTGTAGCAGCCTTGGAATGAATCCATGAAAGCTCTCAATGCTCGATGGTTTAAATGTGTACGATGAAGACATCTCTGTACTACCTGTAGAGGATACAGTAGCAATATCAATGGTAATGGTATCACAATGAGAGAGAGGACGATTATTGATATCATCATTAACCAGATGTGCTTAGAGCTACCATACTCCACTGAAGCATCCATGTAAAGTAGTTTCATACCCTTCACTTCACCGTTTGCACTGTACACTGTATTAGGTAACAATACTAGGAATGAGACTGAGCAGAGTTTAGTGTAAGAGAGGACTAGAAATGTAGCAAATGCATCAATGAACGAGGTCTGTATCTTCCAGTTCCTCCTGAGTCTACCCAGACAGTGACAGAGAGGCATGCAA